TTGTTTCACTTCATCTTTTCAAAAGAGAAAATGTTAATGGCTTACTAGCTACATCATTCTTGCACTTGTATTGCAATACCTTTGGTAAATCAATCAAAACTGATAAAAAAAAAAAAAAATCCACAATTTCTTACGTTCCCCTGAATCAACTCCCCAACAGCCGCTTCTGTCACCTGCACATTTCCACAAAAACACATCCCCTAGCTCCACTCTGCGTCAACGCCCAAAGCCCTGGTGTTAGAGAGATGACTCTCAAGAAAGACCAAGCAGCGAGGTGGAGAGGAAAAAAAGAGAGAAGGTGATAAACAGAAAAAAAAAACAAGGACAACGTTGAGTCATTGAAAGAAAGACACCAACGATGATGGACGACTGCAACTCGGCCACTGCCGTATGAAGTTTCAGGGTTTCACCGCTTCATCATCTTGGAGACAAAGCTGACGATGGCGGAGGCAGGCTGATCTGGTTCCAACTCAGCAAACAGATGGCTAACATTGTCCGTTGTGCTTCCTTGTTTCCTTGCAACAAACCCAAAAAGCCTAGAAGATGGGAAAAATGTCAGCATGCAGTGTATATTAAAGCCAATCTCAACAAAGCTCTAAAAGTGAACTTACTTTACTGATCCACCTCCTTCTTTTACCCATCTATGGAAGAAAAACACAAGTATTTCCTTATAATGAGGTGATCATCAGCATATATTGCTATTCTTTGTGGAAAAATAACCCTTACTTTCTATCCTGGGGGTCCAAATCACAGAAGGTCACTGTGTTAAGGGGATAATGTCGCCGGAAGAAAATTCTGCAGAAAAAGAGATAAATGACCAATTACCAAAAACATATTTTCCTTTTAGATACCACCTTATTTTATTCTTGCTTTCCTTACTTCCTTTGGCTGTCGGTAAGTGTAATACCCTGCATGGACACCTTGAAGTGGACAGTGGTGGCGTCAGGGAGGGGGTTGGTTGTGAGGGTCTGACTTATGGCCTTGGCAATAGCCTGAGGCCCCGTGAGTGACTCCATATCCACAGAGTTGATGAACAGAACATTGCAAGCTGTAAATGAACAACATGGAAGTAGGTAAGTGCAAGGTGAGGGCGGAACATTGTCAGCAGCGTTTGGACAATAATGGATTGTGAGAAACATTCATGCATATTCCGCAGACAAATGTAAGCACTTTATAAGGGTTTCTCAGTCAACCAGAACATGGCAGCAATGTGCGTTAAATTGACTTCTTGTTTTTTTTAAGATCCTTTACCTCTGATTCTGAGGGTTTCTTGGTTAGATCTACCTGGCTTCCAAGTTGTAGGCAGACTGATCACACTGATAAAGCTGTTCACGCACATTAGTTACTGATTCAATCATCCAACCATGCATCTTCACTGGTGGTTGAGAAAATATCCCTTTCAGAATGTCAACATCCAAGTCTGGTTTCACAAAGCCAAACTCTAACCTGACTCCACCAGAAGGATTTGCTCCGCATATCCATCTCGAAAC